AAGAGTGTTAATAATTTCCTAGATCTGAGAATGTGGATTTTTTTCTAAACCAGTAGGTGATGTAGAATTTCAAGTTTTAAATCACAATGTGGAAAGTGCATAATTTTTTGTTTTTAGGGACTGACCATGCGTTTCAACATACCAACTGGGACCAATTTACCCCCTGTCAATTTCAACTCTCAAACTCCTTATATTCCTTTCAATTTGGGAGCCCTGTCAGCAATGAGTAATCAACAGCTGGAGGTATGTTGTGAAGTACAAAAGTAGTTTAACTTGAATTAAAGGCAATTTCAAATGCCCTGTTGTTGAAGGTTCCCTATGCTGGAATATCACATTCTCCAAAAGATTACCTCTGAATAGACCAAGAAAGTTTTCTTTTATTTGTTGACCTTTTTGAACCAGCATAGTATAATAAAATGTGGTTTGTTCAGAGCACAAGGGAATCAGGCCTTGTATTAATGTAGTTTGAATAATTTTAATTAAGGAACAATAGGGCAGCTGACTGGCTAGGGAAATAGCACTTTCTTCAGTTATAAAATATTTTGAATAAACAGGATAAATACATTGATTTATATTCTAATGCAGTGTAGATGCAACATTAAGTATACGATAATGCGCAGTATTATGAAATAAGTAATTGAAAACTAGAATCAGTTATGATTTAAGTAAGAAGGACTAGGTTTTAATATACCAATAATTTAATAATTTAATCTGTGGTTTTCTTTTTAAAATATGCTTATGGAGTCATTTAAATTATTAAAACATTGGTGCAATAGAACCCAAACTTTTATCTTCCTAACAAGACCCTCACTGATGAGTTTTACTCCATTTTATTGATGCTGAATTTTGCTGTTCTTTTCAATTATTTAAAGAGTTTTAAGACCAAGTGCTATAAGTTGGCAAGAGAAAGGATCCCTATACTTTAAAACTATGCTGTCTTTTACATGCCCTTATAAAGTTATTTCTTGCATTCTTCTAGGACCTCATTAATCAGGGAAGAGAAAAAGTTGTGGAAGCAACAAACAGTGTGACAGCAGTGAGGATTCAGCCTCTTGAAGATATAATTTCAGCTGTAGTAAGTTAATTGGCAATTGTTTATTCCAACTTGCAGTTTGTGTTCTCCCCTCTCCATTTGTTTTAATTTTTAATTGTTGTTTGATTCACTAATTCCATGGGGAAAAGAGTGTAATCCTTATAACTTGATTTGCAACAGTAAAATACTAATAAATTGGATAATAGTGCCAAGCTATATATTATTCAGTTTTACCTGGATGTTGGCACAAAAGAGAAATGTAAAATCTAAGAATTTGGAAATCAGTTAATCATAGAAATGTGTGCATTGTTTATATAAATGTACTTTAATTACCAGTTGCATGAATTAAATCCAAATAGTTTTATTCCAGACATAGGTAACCCTTGTACAATAGTGGACAACTTAGTACCCTGCTTTTACATCATTGTCTTCTTTAGAAAAGAGTAAAGGAAAAGGAAAAAAAATCTTTAAAAATCCTCAGTATCTTTAAGTACCTTAATTATTTTTTCTCAATTCTACTGCAATAAGGAGTAAATAGAAACTTTTCTTTTAGTGGAAGGAAAACATGAATCTCTCAGAGGCCCAGGTACAGGCGTTAGCATTAAGTAGACAAGCCAGCCAGGAGCTTGATGTTAAACGAAGAGAAGCAATCTACAATGACGTATTGACAAAACAACAGATGGTAAGAATTTGGACTATCTCTAGGTTATGTTTAATTTTCTTGAATTTATAATAATCGGTTTGTGTGACATCTGTGTCAATAACCATTCCCTCATATGGACGGATGGATGGTCATTGGTTATTCCCAGAGAAACTTTATCCAAAAACCTAGTAATGTCAAATAAAGGTAATGTCTTTTGTTGCAAAGGAGCAACAACTTCCCAAATGGGTCTCCTTGAAGTTTACATAGACTCTCTTCCATATAATTTTATTTTTGTATATTCTGGACATCTAAAAAGGAATTTTTGCCAGACCTTTTACCACATTTACTATTTTAAAACAACTTCCACAAATATGTATACTTTTTAATATATTTAATTTGAGATAAAAAGTGGAGCTATAAATGATACATGACACAGGTTCCTACTAAATTATGTAATTCTTTAAAAGACTAGGATATTCCAGGATCCTTGATCATCTTTCCTAGCATGGTCTTTGCCAGCCATCTGCCTTGCACTGGGAAATTTCAACTCTTGACACCAGGGAATCAATTTCTGTGGCATGAATTTTACTTAGAAAGCACTGTAGAATTATGTGGTTTTAAATTATCTTAGGAAATTTGAGCCATTCCAAGTAGGAATTATTCCCACTGCAAGTGCCTTTTCCCTTGGGTGTTTGTCACTAAAACTGTTTGTCTGTCATCAGGTGAAATATTCAAAAGAATGACAAAGAAAGGAGACTTGACAAAAAGGTGCTGTAACTAATACTTGAGACTAATCACAGTGCAGGATGGGTTACTATGGCAACTAACCTAAAGCTGCTTGCACTACAATAGTCAAGTCATTAAGAGAATTTAGCCCTAAATGGTGTTACTAACCAGTTTCTACAGTAATGGTCCTGTGAATGCCATCAAATTAGTAATGGTGATAACAATAATGTGTTTCCCTTTTGGTATGGTACCCCCTTAACAAATTGATTTTAACTCAAAACTTGATACTGCCTCTTTGAGACAGGTCATGCACTTGTAACAGCTCTCTTTTCTCTCTTTAGTTAATCAGCTGTGTTCAGCGAATACTTATGAACCGAAGGCTCCAGCAGCAGTACAATCAGCAGCAACAGCAGCAAATGACTTATCAACAAGCAACACTGGGTCACCTCATGATGCCAAAGCCTCCAAATTTAATCATGAATCCTTCTAACTACCAGCAGATTGATATGAGAGGAATGTATCAGTCAGTGGCTGGTGGTATGCAGCCACCACCATTACAGCGTGCACCACCCCCAATGAGAAGCAAAAATCCAGGACCTTCCCAAGGGAAATCAATGTGATTTTGCACTAAAAGATTAAAAGATTGCTAAAATCATAGAAAGATCTTTTATTTTTTTAGGAATCAATGACTTAACAGAACTCAACTGTATAAATAGTTTGTTCCCCTTAAATGGCAATCTTCCATATTAGTTTTAAATTTTTTTAATAGGGCATACCATTTCTTCCTGACATTTGTCAGTGATGTTGCCTAGAATCTTCTTACACACACTGAGTACAGAAGATCTTTCAAATTGTTTTCAGTGAAAACAAGTCCTTCCATAACAGTAACAACTCCACAGATTTCCTCTCTAAATTTTTATGCCTGCTTTTAGCGACCATAAAATTGTCATAAATTAATGAATTTATGAAAGAATACAGATTTATATATTCATTATTTACATATAAAAACACACAGCTGAGTTCTTAGAGTTGATTCCTCAAGTTATGAAATACTTTTGTATTAATCCATTTCTTGATGAAAGTGATTGAAATGGTTTTAATGTTCTTTTGACTGAAGTCTGAAACTAGGCTCCTACTTTATCATGTCTGTGACTGAAAATTAGAAACTAAGGGTTATCTTTGACACAGAATTGTGTGCAATATTCTTAAATACTACTGCTCTAAAACTTGGAGGAGTCTTGCAGTTATCTTAGCATTGTATAAACAGCCTTAAGTACAGCTTAAGAAGAGAATTCCTTTTTCTTCTGTAGTCTTTCTGCCATTTTTTATTTTCAGTTATACGTGCTGAAATAATTACTGGTAAAATTTCAGGGTTGTGGATTATCTTCCACACAAGAATTTTCTCTCTCCTGGCACTAATATAAAGCACATCTCTTAACTGCTTGGTGTCAGTGCTAGTGCTTCATCCTGTTGCTGGCAGTGGGATGTGGACTAACAAAATCAAGTTCTAGCATTTTAGGAGGTTAAGGATGATGTTGTGGTTGTTAGCTTCACACCCTGTTTTATAAACAACATCAAAATGGCAGAACCATTGCTGACTTTATGTTCACATGAGGAATGTGCTTTAAAACAATTCCCAGTACTGTCAGTATTGTGAAATAATTCCTCCTAAAGATAAGGTTCACTGGCTTCTATGCTCTTCTTCTTTTCTCTCATCAGTATGTTCTTTTTTTCCCAACTACATTTTCTTACATAAATTATGTTTCAAAGCTCGATTTTTTTTTTTAGTTTAGATCTGTGAGGCAATTTTCTGATCAAAATTAATTAATCTCTAATGCCCTTTTATGAGGTTTTACTAGAAAGTCATTACATTGTCATTTTTCTTAATCCAGGCCTGTAAAAATGATATAAGCTTATTCATGTACAATTTGGTTGCTTGAGTTTCTTAAAGAAAAAGATTGTTAGACTATGAGAGTCAACTCAACATGGCGAAACTATTTTTGAGGTGGTGATGTAACATGTAGTGGAAATAGCCAACGAATTCCAAAAAAGAGAAAGCTGGGTGGAGGATTTGCTCTAGGTATCACTGGATTAGAATGAGGAATGAGTTTAACATTAGCTAAAACTGTTTTTAATTGTTAGGATGATTAAGAGATTTCCACTTTGATCATGAAAAACTAGTGGTAAACATCCAAGAGTACTAAGTTTGTCATATAGAATTTTGAGGTTTGGTGGATCCACCCTCCACCTTCCCGTGGTGAGTTATCACTAACAAATTCCATGTATTTGGATATTATGCCAGCCATATAATCAAGTTCATTTAATTGGTGTGTGTGGGGGGGTGTTTTTACTTTAGAAGAAATGAAAGAGACAAGATTTATGAGATAAATATTTGAAGACAGTATACTTTGGCCAGCTGTTATCAGTTGGTATTTCTACAAGTCCAGAATACTTTTTAAACCTGATTTACTAGACCTGTGAACTTTCATCATGATCTGATTGCTTGCTCAAAGACATAGGTGTTAAAATTTTAGGCAACCTTCTAAACCTTTTTCATCATGAATGAAACTATGACTTAAAGGATAATACATAGAAGAATGAATTGGAAATAAGAGAGTTTGAGATAAAACTTGGACCACTTTGCATACTCTTCTTCACTTGACATTTTAGCTACATAATATGTACTTTGAGTATAACATCAAGCTTTAACAAATATTTAAAGACAAAATAACATCAATAAGATACTAAAAGGCTCATTTTTATATTTGTTTTAGATGTTTTAAATAGTTGCAATGGCTTAAAAAAATGATTTAAAATGTTGCTTGTAATACAGTTTTGCCTGCTAAATTCTCCACATTTTGTAACCTGTTTTATTTCTTTGGGTGTAAAGCGTTTTTGCTTAGTATTGTGATATTGTATATGTTTTGTCCCAGTTGTATAGTAATGTTTCAGTCCATCATCCAGCTTTGGCTGCTGAAATCATACAGCTGTGAAGACTTGCCTTTGTTTCTGTTAGACTGCTTTTCAGTTCCGTATTGAGTATCTTAAGTACTGTAGAAAAGATGTCACTTCTTCCTTTAAGGCTGTTTTGTAATATATATAAGGACTGGAATTGTGTTTTTAAAGAAAAGCATTCAAGTATGACAATAATACTATCTGTGTTTTCACCATTCAAAGTGCTGTTTAGTAGTTGAAACTTAAACTATTTAATGTCATTTAATAAAGTGACCAAAATGTGTTGTGCTCTTTATTGCATTTTCACAGCTTTGAAAATCTGTGCACATATTGTTTCATAGAAAATGTATAGCTTTTTATGTGCTATTTAATGGTGGTTCTTTTGCACATTTAGTTATTTAATATTGGGAGGTCAAGAAGTTTGGTTTTTAAATCTGTTATATACTAAATTCTGTAAAAGGAGATCTCAAACCTCAAAAATAATTTACATCCCAGGAAGTCTATGTGTGTTTGTGTTAGTTTTGGTTGTCTGTGTGTAATCCAGTACCATTTCCTGCTTCCCAACTGCTGCGTCACTCATTTAAGTCAAGCAGAGCTACAACTCCACACTTGATACAAAAGCTGCTTACTATCCCGGAGCAATAGCAGGTTGATGGAAACCTTGTTATGTGACCTCCAAAGAAGGTGAATATTTTGTAGTCTTTCCTTAGCTATGCCCATTCTCCCTCTAGTATCATAAAATCAGATACATATTTCTGTACCCTAAAGAAAACTTTAAAGACAATTAATTACATACCCCAGTAAAAATGGTTTCCTTTGAGGGTGGCATGTTGTGAGATATTTTAACAGTAAAATGGGTCATCCTTTTACATGCTTATTTCACTAAAAATTATGTTCAGGTTATTCCCCACCTTAGTTCACCAGACTTAATCTCAAGTGACTTTTGGCTATCTCCAAATCAAATCTACCCTTAGAGATGAAAATTCTTCCACCGTTGATTTTTTTTTCAAAAGTATGTAATCTTTGCCAATCTCAAAGGAGTGACCAGAAATGCTTTTTGTCTGTGCAACATTTTATATATGCTGTTATATGGAAGTGAATAAAAATTTAAAATCCAAAATATATACTGCTTCTAAGCTCAATATCTGCCAGGTAACGAAACTGCCCACATCACTCATGTTGGATCTAATAAGAGAATGGCCTTTGCGGCCCCTAGTTTTATTCCCTAGAGTATGTACTACCATAAAATTTCTTTACCATATATACTGCCACCCTCTCTTTGGAATAACCTTCCTGACACCATTGTGCCTACTTGGCTGACTATGGAAATCACTCTTCCTCCCCCGACTCTAGGGATGTCTTTCTGATAGTGACCACTGCATACCTTCACCAAGGGAGGTGTGACAAGGAAGGCAGCATATAACTTGACACCTTTATTAAAAACAATAAAGATAAAGCTTTAAAGGAATGAAAGGGTGAGACAAATCCTAAAATACTCCTCTTTTAATACTCAGAACTGCCACATTTTCCAAGCAGTCTCTACCCAGCAGCACTCTTCCGCATTCTGTTCCTGAACATTATGCCCGCACTTCTCCTCCCTGATAGAAACACGTTAAGGGAGGGGGAGCTTGGCTCCAATCTCCTTTGGGTAATCATGTCAGATGACTATTGAGAGACTTCTACCTATTAAGTAGACTCAGCCCCCTGCCTATAGTTCTCACATCAGATATGTGCTGGTTTTCAAGAAAGGTGACGAGAGATGACTTATCAGATGCAAGGATGGGATTTGTTTCAGGTGTATGAGGAGAAAGTGTAGTATTGAAAGAAAAAGAACAAAGGTAGAGAAGGATCGGGAAAGACAGACTAGATTGGAGTGGATTGATGGAGGACCTTGAAATCCTGAATGAGTAATTCAATATGGAGGATAACAAGGGTTTGTGAGGGAGCAGATGTGTTCAAAGTAGCAGGTAAAGAGAGTGATTTGGGCAGGGGTAATTTGAATGGTTAGGTGAAGAAAGATTGCAGACAGGAAGATGGATAATTAGGCATTCAGTGACCAGACTACTGACAATTTTAAGGACAAAAGCACAGTCATCAGAGCTTGTATAGGATAGTGAACTTCTTAAATTGTAAGAAAAACCTTATTTCCTTTTACCCTTCCCCAAGGAGCCCAATTTGTTCAGGATTTCTGATTTTACATGCAAAAGTTCACTTACTCTTTGTCTACCCTCTCAAACATAGTGATAAATGCATTAGTGGCATTCATGTTCTTTCACAATTTTTCGTTACTCCTAATTAACCCATATACATTATTTGCAGAAAGTGAGTTTGGTCCATTTAAGTCGAGTGTAATTCTACATCTTTCCTCAAGCTAACTCTTCAAAGGGCTAAATCCATTCCTGTTACTTTTCCTTGAGACCCATCCATTCCAAGGGCTAGTATCTCAGTTGGTAATGTTATATTTATAAGCTTCCCTTGTTATTTTCAAAGTGCTTTGTGCTTATTATGTGGTAGCCTGTGTACAACATATCTGTGAGAAAAGTGAGGAGAATAGTTACATTTTCCTCGTGACAGTTAAGCTAAAAGACCAAAATCAAATCTATTGGCACTTAGGAGGCAGAAGACATATTCTAGTCAATTTATCTGAGCGTTTCATGTCTCATTTGGAAAATGGGACTATAATAATACCTTACTTTCTTGAAGGCGGGAGGCTGGACCAGGTGATTTCTTGAGGTCCTTTTCAGCTCCAAGAGTTAGGGTTTAGCTGTGAGCAAAGCACAGTTTGAAGCCAAAAGGCAATGTTTATCTAAAGTTACACAGTAAGTTTGTGAACAATTAGAAATCCCTTCCCTTTAGCTAACCCTCTCCCCTACTAAGCTATACCTTTTCCTCTGCTTAGAAAAATGAGAGGTCTGACAGGCATTTTAATGACAAAGCAGGTAAGTCAAGTTGTACTTGGCTCTAATTACCACTTCCACAAGCTGTAACCTCCTTTATCTTTTGCCCAGGGGCACTCTCAGAGCTGTGTTTCTTACTGCTTCTGGAACTCTGCAGAAAATGAAAAAACATGTTTAAGGATCTGATTCTTATAGCTTGGTCACCTGATTGGGTTATATATTATACATGACAAAACATCAAGGTAAATATAAATCCGCTTTT